TCATTATACTCTCTTGCTTGTTTTTAAATTTTATGATTGTAATTGTGATGTGTGAGTTCTTCTGTATTTTTTCTTCCTCAATATTAAGCTTGTAGGCTCTTTGTTGATTCTTGTAGCTCTATTGTATTATTTCTGAGTGAATTTTTAAAAATTCTGTTAAAGTGTGGTATAATGTAATGAACATGGCTTTTAGTCATATAGAACTCAAATTCTGTCTTATTCCTTATATCTATGTAACCTTAACAAAGTTATTTAAACTATTTCAGACAGCTTTTTAAGAAAAAAATAGAATAAAATAATAGCATCTTCTTTTTTCTTCAACTTTTACTTTAGAACCAGGGGCTACATCGACAGGTTTATTATAAAAGTATATTGCTTGATACTGAGGTTTGGGGTATGATTGAATCCATCACCCAGGTAATCAGCATACCTAATAAGTAGTTTTTTTCAACTCTTAGCCCTTTCTCTTTCTCTCCCTCTTATATTCTCTAGTGTCTGTGGTTCCCATCTTTACATCCATGTGTACCCAATGTTTAGCTCCCACTTATCAGTGAAAATATAGCATTTTCTTTATAAAGTAGTCTTGGCATAATGATACAATGTGTGTGTGTGTGTGTGTGTGTGTGTGTGTGTGTGTGTGTGTGTATAAACAAACATATATCTACATATATATACAATAATGTATGTTTGGAACATAATAAATATTGTTTTATATATTCTAATATTTTTCTAGCTCCAAATTTTAAAATTAGTTGTGATTACTATAAATAGTTTTTATATAACAGGGACTACTTTTTGGTATTCTGGGACATAAGAAAGTGAAGAAAAAAATTCTGTTACATCTGTGGTTCTCAGGAGCTTGATGTGGTCAAAGAGGCTTGAGCCATAGCTCAGTCATAAATCCTGGATGTAAATTCCAGCTCACTGGTTCACTGGTTATGTGACTTGACCAAATTACTTAATTTTCTTTGAGCCTGATTTTTCATTGACAAAATGGAAATAGAGGCCACTTAACTGGTAAGGGCTTTGTGATGATCAAATAAAATCAGTTGAGTAAAGTACTAAGCATTTTTCCAGCTTTATAGTATATGTGTAATACATATTTAGCAGTTTTCCCTTTTGCCATCAATTTATTAACATGTCAAATATTAACAGAAGGCTTTTATATACATTTATACATTTACTTACCTACATTTTAGGATTTGTTTTCCAACTTCCGTTCAGTGTACACTTTCAAACCCTGATTATTTCATTAACTTCCATAGGTTAAGCAGTTCTGGACACTTCCAAACCCGTTTATTCAGCTACAGACTCTATCCAATAGATTAATGGAAATTTTATGTGTCTAACTCTTCATCTTCCTAGTTTATCCCTCCTTTGTTATATCTAAAATTATTTTCTCATTATCTCACCATATTCTTGTAATACTTACTAAAAGCTACTACTGTAGTGTTTAAATATCTCTAAACTATTTTCCTCCTCACACTACCCTTACATTTGCCTTGTCTAGGCCCTCATCATTTCTGGTGGTTTACAGATAATATTGCATTAAACATATTCCTTGCCTCTGCTTATCACATCCAGTCTTTCACTCCTGCTACCCTCCCCAAACTCTGGCCCTATTACTCTCTTGGTGAAATCTTTAAATGTTTCTATTTCTGCAGAATAGCATCAAACACCTCAACAGTGTTGAAACTGTCGTATATAATCAACATTTAAGCAGATTTTAAAAGATTCTGTATAATTTTGCCCTATCACCAGACAAACTGTCTATTGTATCCATAGTTCTCATCATATAGAAACTTGAGTTTCTCAGGCTTATCATGTAATATCCTCCCTCCCTACAAATGCATGTGTTGTTATCTTTACTGGAAATGCCTTCAAGCCTTTTCTTCCAAGACTAAGCCTTGAGATGAAATAAATTAATGTTTCTAAAGTCCTTACTGTATCAGAAACTGTGTTAAGTGATGTAAAGACATAGTAATAGCTGAATTTCCTAATAACTCTATGAGGTTGATAAGATCTCCATTTTAGAGATGAAGGAATTGAGGCAGGATTTAAACTCTTATTGGCTGACTCCAAAAACTGTACTTTTAACAATTGTGCCCTAAATAATTTATTTAATTCTCAGAAAAACCTAAAGAAAGATAGATATTTAAATTGATTTTTACATGATAAAACTGATGCTCTTGAAGTATGAATGGTGTATCCTAGTCATATAGTTAAATTCAGCAAAGCCTAAATTTCATATCAAATTTGATGACCATTAAAGCCCACATTGTTTCCATTATAAACCCCAGTGTCTTTAAATATCACCCCTTCTCCAAAGGAATCATTTCCCAATGCTCCCATGGGTAGATGATAATGTCACTGTTTCCTCTGCTGATATGCCTTGTATCATAGAATAAAATAAGAATAATTAACATTTACCTAGCAGTTAATTAACATATAGATACAGTTCTATGTGCTTTGGTAATTATCTAATTTACATATCTCAATAAGTATCATAGCAACTGTATGAATTACCCTCCATCAATGTGGTTGCCTGCTTTCTTTATGAAAGCATGAACACCTTGGAAGAAACAACTGACTGATACATATTTGACTTCATGGCATCCCTCCATCATGCAATTCCTTGCATGTAGAAGGTACACAATAAATAATATTAATTAAATGAATGGGCTATATTGTAGAGTTTCTACGATATTGGTGGGACACAGAGAGAAAAGTAGAAAGCATGTCTTAAATCTTAGAGAACAAATGAAATCTTCTCCCAGCAGTACTTATCCCTTGAACTCAGAAATGCAGAATCTTTGGTAGGTTATATTATTTTCCTAACTTGTCATGGCATTATTTTTTCTTGTATTGGAGACAAATTATGCATTTTCCAAATGACAGTCAGGCAAGCTAGTTATACATCTTAATAGATATCACAGATTTATACCCAAATTTGCTTTGATTTATACCCAAATTTTGATTTATCTTATTGACCCCATTCACATTATAGAGTTCACTCCTTATTTTTATGTGCACTATAAAACTCAAAATATTGGAAAGCCTCTTGATCTGCAAAGACATCACATTTGTCTAAAGTGGCCATCTCTGTTTTCCATCCATTTGGAAAGATTGTTTAAGTGTTTTTCTCAGGCATAGTCAGGCTTCTGAAAAATGGAAATTGGCTCTTACTATGACCTTGCCTTTGTTTTATCTGAGAGTACAGTTGTCTACTTTACCTCCATCATTTCCATTCAAGTCTTACTTGCTGCATCTTTTCTTTTATTTCTTCAGGATTTACTATCTCCATAGTTTTCCTCATGCTGTGTATTTCTCCACTTTGCTGGGTTCTAATTTTTATCTATTCCAGGATGATGACAATGATGATGATGATGATGATGAAATGGTGATGATGATATGATGATGATGATTGTGTGTGTGTGCGTGTAGTTGTCATCTCTGGCCCCGTCTTTAGACAACTAAACCCTGAAACTTAACCAAGCAGATGCAAAGTTGCAGTCTTCATTTCACAGTTGGCTCTGGAGATTTGTATGTGAGAAACAATGCTGGCTTTCCTCCCATTCACTGAAGAAAGAGGTACTAAGCAAATACTATTCCCAGCCACGTGGTTACACACTGTTGAATCATAGCATTTTAGGAAACTTAAATTTCTAATTCTTACATTTGTAATTATCATAGGTTATGTCAATAATTTAGATTTTCTAAATTGTTGTATTCTATATAACCTTGTACCCAATTTCAAAAATATTCAAATTTCTACTTATAAATAAAATGTTCTTGTTATATGAAATTGCTTCTATATATGATTAAATTGATTCTGTGATTTTTAAAAATAAGACATTTCAATCTTCTATTTAAGGAATAAATGATATTACTCATAGAAGAGGGAAATACTATAAAACAAAGTCTATGTAGTTTACTTGAAGTTTATTAGCCTGGTGACAATATATGTAAATATGAAAATAGAAGCTACCCAGGGCAGAACAAAGCATTATGGCACATGGAATACATAATAGACAAAGGAATTGGGTGGCTAATTTCTCAGACTGCCATTTAAAATGTTTTAGCATGTTTATCAGCCAAGTGCAACTGTCTTCTCTATGGCTTAGTGGGGATTATGCTTCACATGCTCTTGGACATCTCTAAATTCTGCACCTATTGTCATCAGCACCCCTACTACCTTCAAGGGCTGATATCAACTGCTTTTGATTTACTGATGAAAATAACCATGATGATATCACCCAGGGCGAATGGCGCCCTACTGCATAATTCTCAGTTGGCAAACTTTGGTTAAACTCTGGCAGTTATTCTGTACTCTAACCCTGATTAAAGAACTTGAAGGTTTCACTTTGATTTTACAAATGATGAGGTGGAATGGACATAGAAATATGAATTGTGTATGTGTGCACGTGCATGTGAGAGAGGGTATAAAAAGAGGCTTTGGGAAGATAGGACTTTAGGCATCTCAGTGACCCTAACGACGTCATGTTCAGTCCACTTTTGATGGAAAAATAATCAGTTTTTATATCTAAGACACTTCGAAAAATAGACAAGCATTTCTTAAACATACATGCATTTGCTGTTTTATATGAATCTCCCATCCTGGTATTTTTGCAAATACTGTTATGACAATTTAAAATGCTACCTTTGTTTTTCCTTGATGAATATTAGCATAATTAAATGCACATTTTGTTTTAAATCCTGCTTTTTTTAACGCAATGGAAACAATATTATGTTCTTAGAAGCTTAAATTCTAAGAGAAAGAGCTCTCACAACCACTGACACACCCAGAGTAAAGGTACTTATGTTCCAAAATAACTCATATTGATGAACACATGCACCCATATTGATGATTTTTTTAAGACAGAAACTCCTTTCACATTTTTGAAATAAAAAAAGTATTTGTAAATTAAAGTTTTCTAAGAAAGGTTATTCAAATAAGTCCATGTAAAAATCTCCATATTTTACAGCCATATATTATTTTCTCTTTTTTTCATTTATTTATTTTCCTCATTTTCATTTAGCCTTGTGGATGTTCCCAGAAATGATAGGCTAAAGCCAATTCCGTATATCTCATTTATAATGTAAAATATTCAGCCTCAACTTGCAGACAGTATATCTTTTCAATAAAAGATAGCAGATGCTGTAGCATGTCTGCCAAAGAAAGAGTCCAGTTTAAACATTCTGCAGTATGCAAATGTCATCTCCTCTGTGTGAATGTTTTACCCGAGTGGATGTTGCAGGGTTGGAGGCTTCTGCCTATGATTTAGGTTGTAATTTTATTTGTGGAAGTAAACCAATCGCGGAGCTCCAATTGTCTTGGCGGTGAGGTGATCAATAGCCCATTACTGGATAGAACAGCGGCTACAGGAAGTGCATTGAAGATTTTAATGCATGAATTATGCATGCAGCACTCATTCTTTAGTCTCCGAACAGAATGACAGGGTTTGTGAAGTCGCCTCAGATAGTTTCTTGCATTAAGTGACTGCAGTGAAATGCTTAATATTTTCAGGCATAGAGGCAGCATTGACTCAGGCCAGCCGAATTTGGAAGATGTAAATCTCTCAGCTCACAGCACAGAATGCTTTATGTGAAAGTATTGCTATGTAGAGAGCCGGCTTTTCTGCCATCTAACCTGCTCTCCCCAGGTTGGGTGAAGGATGGGAGCGGCTGTGCCTGCCTGTGAGGTCACAGCATGAAGTCCTTTTAACTTGCTTTCTGCTGCAGGAGAGAGTCATATTGAGGTATAACTGTTGCCGTATGTATTCAAATGGACAATTTGCAATAGATATTATACCCAGGACGACAGATAACATATAAGGTAAGTCCAAGGTTTTTGTTTTTTTTTTTCTAGGTTAGGTAATTGCAAACTAGAATGTGCTGAGTTAGGATAATGGTGATGCCATATTAGAAAGGTTGACTCAGATCTTAGCATTGCAATGCCAGCATCAGGACTCTCAACTGTTACGTTAAATGAGAGGCGACTTTCTACATTTGGTACTATTGGACCAATGGGTATTTTATCTTGCATGCAAAAGCTTTTCAAGAATGTGCTAGAGCTCGAACGTGTAGAAGGCTGCAAACTGGGGAGGGGCAGCAGGAGAATGAGCGGAATTGATAAGTGGAAATTACCTCCTTGTGGGGAAGTTTTAGCTCGGCTGTGGTATCGCGTTGGCTCAGATTATTTCCTTAATGGCAACATTTTCAAATTCTAGTAAAAGATGTGGGTAGACACCAGAAAATGCTCAATCCTGCTTCCAGAAGTAGGGGAGAGCACTGAGGTACTCAAACTCAAATACTGTGTTGCATACAAATTGAGCAGATGGAATTAAAACAATTTGGACTAGCATGTCCTTGAGGGAAGACCTTGCTGTCAAACAAAACCATTTTACTTCTACTTGTGGTGGTTTGGTTTGTTTTATCCTCTTGTCAAGAATGCCTTACTCCAAAACGTGTGGAGAGATGACATGTTGTGAATTTTACCAAAAAAAGAGTTTTATTTCTTGGCATTTAAAAAATTAACCTTATACAATTATAGAACCCACTATGTAAGATCTGAATAAATTTATGAAAACTCTGTAAGCCTGAAAAATATAGTACTGTACTAGTATATTTGTCAGAAGTCATTGTTAATTAAAGTTGCTTGCTTAAATATCATGGTAAATTATTAATTCCTGAACATTTCTTTAGGATGAGAAAAGAGAATAAATATAAAGGAAGAAGCACTAGATAAGTAAAATTCTTTAAGGATACTTTTCAGCAGTGAATTCATATTACTAGCGAATATACTTGCACACACATACATATATACTATAATTCATGGTGTATAAAATGTAATATATGCACTATAATACATAGGTATATCCACTTCCTCATGTATGTTTATTGATACTGTTTCTAAAAGTATGCTTGCTAAATCATCTATCAAGGGCCAAGAATAGATAAGGACAAGTATGTTTTGGAATAAAAAAGCATGACTTAATTTTTTAAGAAATAAATTTAGAGCAATGATAATAATAAGAGCACAGGAAAACTACCTTTCAAGCATTTCACAGTGCATTTCAATTCTGCTACAGTGTTACTATATTACTTGGGTTTCTTGTTGCCCAGGTGTTGTGCACAGAACTCCCAGCATTACAGAACAGTTTAAATCTTCAAAACTGATCTAGTTTAGGTGTAAGAGGAAACTCACACCTGGAGTTTTTCCTTAGGGAGGGGAATAAAGGAAGGAGAAATTCCTACCTGCATATCTGAGAGGTCTCCTGATGCTGAGTCATGTGTTCAATTCTGCTCAAATGCCTCCTGGCTGAGGTAGCTGATTAACAGCTAATAAAATGGAATCTAGAGGAAAATGAGAAAGTGGCGGGGGTGAGCAGAAACTTAAATATATTTATCGCCTAATGACACACGCTAAATTCTGAGTAATAAGTAGAATGTCAGTGCTACTTGTTGGATCTGGCTGAGTTGACAGTAGAAGAATAAAAGCACTCACGCTGGGTGACAAGATCATAGCAGTAGAATTAATGGCCTAACAAGGGGAGATTGTATAAACAATGGAATTCAAGAAGCAGTGTCCTTGTACGTATCTAAACCTCTCTTTCTTCTTTCTAGTCTCAACCCATGCCGTTCATCAATCTAATTTTAAAAACATGACGATCAGGTAAAGAATAGTTTCCGGATCATGTATGGGAAATCTGGAGTTAGATTTGCTCAGTTTTCGCTTCCCAGAGTGGTTGTAATTAATTTCTATAGGCTATCAGTTGGGAAGAACCAACAGAAAATTGATGAGAATTTTTTAGTATCTTCTTTGATATATATGAAGCACCAAAACGAAGTTAGATAGTGATTGTTATGGCAACATATAATTGTTTTAGATATAATTGGAAATGGAGGCTGAATATATTATAAACATAAAGAAGGAAATAGGGCAACTAGAATGACAGAGGAGTGAAACATCAAAATAAGATTATTGAAAGAAAAATGTACTTTAATTGTGGTGGATATACATTGTTAGTGACTCTTAAACATCAATGTATAAAAATTCTGAAGTAACAGGTTTAGTAATACAAGGGTTTATAATTTCTTTAAAAATAAAATTTAAAGATGACTTAGTAGAGTGAGAAATAATTGACAAGAATTTTTTAAAATAGAAAGCTATAGTATTTCCTATAGGGAATAAATATATAGCTAAAATATATTTGAACTTACATTGTAATAAATCTAAGTAGAAGTCTCTCTGTGTATATGTATATGTGTATATATATATATCTATACAGACAGTATAGTGTGTGTGTGTGTGTGTGTGTATACACACACACACACACACATATATAAATACACTCTTTACCTATCTACCTGTTGAGTTTTCTACTTAGTAACTACCATAAGTGATCTGTAACTACCACAATCCTAACCACTACATATGTAATATATATACTATATTATATACTGTATTATATATATCTTTATAGTGCAGTTATATACTTTTTACACTATATAGTATTGTATATATATTTACAGTATATATACTGTAAACATATAGTATATATACTATATATTATATAAAAATATAAGTAAATATATATTTTCTTAGGATTTTGGTAGTTACAGATTGCTTATGGATAATTATGAAGCCTGCAAGTATTCAAAGAGAGGTAATATACCCATTTTCCATAAAGCAAGCTCATATGAAAATTGTATAAATCAAAGCTTATGTTTAGATGACAAGAAAATTTCCCACAGGGTGCTTCAGTAAATAGTCTTGATGAGTTGCAAGCTTTGTGAAATTCACAGAAAACTTTTTCAAGTATGAAACTATAACAGAGAGTGATCCTTGAGAGATACCATCTTTTCTCTCCTATTGGAGAAAATGATTACGTTAGTTTCCCCTCAAAATATTTTCCCTGAGTAAGTAGCTTATGAAACGTTCTTCTTTCACATATGCCCTTAAGAGCTGACTCTGAGGAGCGGATCAGCTTAATGTAGCTTTATGGATGCTTTACCAATGTATTCACTCTTTTTGTAAATATACCTTTCACCCCTTTTTCATTATTTATTAATATCTTCCTTCTAACAAGCTAACTCAGTGCAATAAGGAAGCATTTATTAAGGATCCTCTTGCTTGGTTTTGCTAGGTACTCTGGTTTTGTAGATGCAAAAGATGATGAAGGGCTTGTGCATTCAACGGGAACAAACAAGTCAAATGCAGGGGGAAAAAAGGTACAACACAGGGCCACCTAAAAATATTCAGTAAAACATTTTACTGTCATAGGAGAAATGAGGACCTAGGCACAAAAATGTTTAAATGGCACCTGGAAGAAGAATGGAAAGTTATGGAGGCTCAAATTAATATGATATATTTTAATGTTCATACTGAAACAAAGGGATTGGATGGATGGTGTAGTTGAGAATAAACAAGGTGGGGGCAGGTGAATAGGAGCTTAGTCACCAGAATAGCATGTTTAGACTTGATTTAATAGGAGTGAACACCCACAGATATCATTTAATGATAAAGATGTATCTGACTCCTGAATCAGATAAAATTTTCAGCATTTCTTTTTAATGATTGCTAATCTTAAATTAAATAGTCATGCACCATATTAATACTTTTTGATTGCATGTATGACAGTGGTCCAATAATATTATAATGGAGCAGAAAAATTCCTAGTGTCTAGTGATACGGTAGCCCTTGTAATGACATAGAGCAGCAGTATTCAGTATAGTAATATGCTGTTCCTGTTTGCAGCCTAGGAAAACAATAGGCTATGCCATATAGCCTATGTGTGTAGTGGGCTAGATCATCTAGGTTTGTGTAAGCACACTCTGTGATGTTCCCACAGTCAAAATCACCTGACTATGCATTTCTCAGAATGTATCTTCGTAGTTAAGTGATGCATGACTGTATTGTATTAACCGTGAATTTTATTTTCTGTATTCTGATACTTCAGCTCTGCTGACCCTAGAGGGACCAGTTTTCCTAGGTGTTAGCCCATTACTGGAGTTAGTACCATACAACTTGCTCCTGACTACACTTTTCAAATGCAAACCGACCAATCCAGAGCCCCACCACTACAACCAACTTCCTTATCTGGACCCTCACACTCTGGGCCACTATCCACCTGCCTAATCACCTCAGGGACACGTACCAGACAAGTGACAAATCAAATTACTCAAACTAGCCAATCCTAAACATTTACCTGGCTCCTGTTCATTCCAGTGAAAACCACACAGTTCCCCTCTCTTCTGCCTCTTGACCAGCCCCTGATCTTCTCCATGTTACCATGGTGTGTTGTGCCCTTTGCTCTTATTATCTGTGGGTTTAATAATTATCTCATTTTTTGTTTTTAAGACAGAGTTTCATTCTGTCACCCAGGCTGGAGTGCAATGGCATGATCTCTGCTCACTGCAAACTCTGCCTCCCAAGTTCAAGTGATTCTCCTGCCTCAGCTTCCTGAGTATAGCTGGGATTACAGGTGTGCGTGAGCACACCTGGCTAATTTTTGTATTTTTCAGTAGAGATGGGGCTTCACCATGTTGGCTATGCTGGTCTTGAACTCCTGGCCTCAGGTGATCCGCCCGCCTCAGCCTCCCAAAGTGCTGGATTACAGACCTGAGCCATTACACCTAGCCAACACCTTAACTTTTCAATGACAGTTGTCTCCAGGTCTGTTGTCCTTACCAAACCTAAATAATAAGGCCAACATTAAAAATAAACATTTAAACATCTTCTAAATTTTAATACAAACTAACATAAATAGAAATATTATATTCCCAGGACATGAAATAAATTAGCCAAGTCTTTTTTCGTTTAAAAAAAAAAAT